ACTGAGACCTTGGATGCGCTCACCAGACCTGCTCACAAGGTTCTTCCAGAAGGTTCCAGCTTTGCCTGAAGTTCCTATCAGCATAAAATGCAAGCCAATATCATTGCAGGAGGAGCACTCCAAGGTGCCTTGTGCCCTGTAAGCTGTGAAGAGTGCATTGCCAGGGCCCAGGCAGGCTCCAAGCCTCCGGATCTCCCAGGGACTGCAGAACTCAAAGGCATTGCTGTACCTTTCACTCAGAAAGCCTGAGCTCAAGATGATCTGCTCCCTGCCTAGAGGGACTGGGTCTGGAGTCCTTAGAGGTGCCCAAAGCCAGTATAAACAGGGCATCGCAGAGAGTCTGGGAAGAGATGAGAAGTAAAAATCTTTCTACATGGCACGGGAGTCCCATCTGCCTACGCCAAACTGTGTGCGTGCTGTTCCACACATTTGTTCCCCTCTGGGGGGCTGGGGGGGGGTGGTGGTGGTAAGATTTGTGTCCGGTTGGTATTTTTCAATTTTGAAAAAGCTGAGAGGTTGGGATGTGAGGGAGGCGCCTCAAAGCAAAGGACTGCCAGCCCACATTCTAAGACAGAACACCTCGGGCATGAAGCCTCTAAGCTCCTGCAAGAGGTTTGTCAACACAGACTGTTAGCGTCGCACCCCAATTATGCTACCCCATTAGCGTATATTAATAACTGATTATTAACATGCAAAAGACTTCTCCCTCTGATCCCTAAGACCCCATTCAGAGTTCGGCATTTTTCTTCATCTTAATTTTTATTTTTTTCTCCAGCTAGATTGGCTTAGTGCTTTCTCTTTGTTCTTCCTCACCTTGTTCACTGAAATCCTGGCTGGCGGTTCCATCAGCAGAACTACAAAATCAAAAAGGCAGTAACATTTTAGAGCTTTCCCTGTGTCACCCAAGGAGGCCAGGGGGCAGACGGAGGGGACATGAAAAAGAAGGTAGTATCTGGAGCCGCACAGACCAGAATCCAAATCCCAGCTCTGCCATTATTAGCTGTGTGGCCTTGAACAAATCACTCATCTGTAAAATGGGATCAGAGCGCTGGCCAATGCAAGAAGATAGCAGGTAATAAATGAGTGGAAATCTGATGCCAGGTATGTGGTGGGCTTTTAATTCATGGTCAAGAACATCGCTGTGATTACTATTAAGCCTCCCACATGGCAATGGACACTACCTGAAAATCAGAAGTCATGTAGCTACTACCTCTAGTGAGCCCTGCCTCTCCAACTAAGAGATGAGGGCGGGGAGCTGGATTCACAGCATGCAGAATGTCCTTTTCCCAACTGTAAAAATTACAAGAGCTACCATTTGTTGAGCACTTCCTCTGGGATAGGCAATATTACATCCTCACCATCACTGTATGAGATAGACACTATATATCACTCCCATTTTTGTAGGTAAGGGAGCAGTTCAGACAGGTTAAGTGACTTACTCAAACTCCCATAATACCAGTAGGTAACAAACGGACCATAATAAGAGTGGTGGTTTCTATGTGTCAGCACATATGTGCTCAGGGCTTTTTTTTTTTTTTTTTGGTATAGTTGTACAGGTTGTTCACTGCACAAGAGAGACTGGCCACAGGGCAAATTGGGGCTGAAACTTAGCTCCTGCCCCGTCTGCCTAGTTCTGTATCCTGGTGCAAAGCTGGGTTCACTTGGAGGCAGAGAGACCCTTTTCCGATTTGACAAAGATACCATATGTGCTATCAGAAGCCCTGTTAACATTGTATTTGTATTACCTTCTCTAATCCTCAAAACAGCTCTGTGGACTAGATATTAATACCCGCATTTTATAAATGACGAAATTCAGGCCTGGCAAGTTCAGGTCACTTAGCAAAGTCGCTTTGTAAGTGATAAACCGAGAATCCGAAACTGATATCAAAGCCCATGCTCTAAACCCCAAGGCCACTACACCGGCCCCATCCCTAAGTGTTCAATAAGTGAATAAAGGAAAAATACATAATCATCTGACTTTCACTTTAAAAAATAATAGCGGTTCTAATGAGGCCCCAGGGCTATCAAGGCCTTTAGTAAGGTTGCAGAAAACTCAATCAATCAGGAATTTAGAGTACTGTCTTTCAGTGCTCCAAACCGTGCCGGCTTTATGCTCGCTAAGTATTTTTCAGTGGCTCAATTTCCTCGCCTGAGAGCGAGAGGAATATTTCTCATAGTTGTTTGCAAAGCGTGTATGCATACGTGATGATCTTCGCATCAACCATGGGAGAAACGCATCACCATCACCCTTTTGCTCAGGGAGGTGCATGGCATGCTCAGGGCCACACAGTGGGTAGGGCAGAGGGGGACCTAAGACCAGGGCTCCCAACTCCCAGTCAGTCTTGGGCTCCTTGCCAAGTACCTGAGAACTTTCGGGGCACCTGCAGCCTGCCTGGTGGCCCAGGCTGCACACAGTGCACGTGCAAGTCAGACGGTACTGGAAACTGACATGAATCACATGACCACACTGAGTCTTTTCAGAAGACATGGCAGGAAGGAGCACTCTGGTAGGAGTCTTTGCTTGGTTCCCATGCCCTGAAACAAAACCTCTGCCTTTGCAGGGACTGGAGCAGCCCAGATTACAGTTTTGGGTAATTTAGGGCTTTTCCAGAGCTGCCTTATGAAGGGAAGATGACCTGGGAGCACTTGGTGGCAACGCCCCCTGACAGGGCTCAGCCTTGCGCTCACCCCTGGCCGTGCTGGGCAGGGTTCAAAGGAAATTGCATCTGCGAAAGAACTCTGCAAAGAGGTGTGGCCCAAATGCAGAGTGCTATTGTTTTTCCTCCCCTCTGTGGATCTCAGGAGGCTGATTGCATCTGTGCTCAAATGACAGACTTGCCCATCCTGTGATAAAATGTGGGCGGCCGCTCCCACCCCAGCCGGGTGGCTTCCCCAACAAAAACATGCACATGCACTCTCTCCCCGCCTCCCCAGCAACCACCCGCCACTATCTCCAGCTCTGCAGGCTGGGAAGCCCCCCTCCTTGGCTGTGGGTATACTACTCCTTATGTGGGCAGCAGCTGTGGATGACAGGGGAGGGAGAAAGTTACAGACATACAGACCTTCCAGCGATTGCCACATTCATTGCATAAGACAAAGGTAGTCATGGGCTCATCAGCACTGCGTGTCTGCACCTGAGAGAGAACAGAGCCGCTCAGGAATTCACTCCTGTGCTCTAGGACCTGCCGTAGCTCCCACTGTCTGTAGCAGAAGGTCCAAATCCCAGAGCTTGGCACTGTTATTCCCGCCCCACTTTGGCAATTCCCTCATCACTGAGAGCAGCATATCCTTGTCTCTCCTCTCTCAGGTCCATCAGTTCACCTCTAGTGCCTCTCTGGCTCACCCAGCCCTCTGCACTTTCACTTTTGGCCTCGATCCTTCTGAACTGACCTCTCTTCTCTTGCCTCAAGGCTCAGCTCCTACAGGAATGATTCCCTGACTCACCTCTGGACACACCCTCGTGGCTGTGCTCCACTGATCAGAACTTGAGTGAGCTGGGAGCACCCTTAAAGACCATCGAGTTCGTTCCTCATTTTAGAGTTGCAAGAATTGAGGCCCAGAGAGGAACAGGAATTTGAAGATCATTGGATCACGGGGACTAGTTAATACCATGTTTTCTGGTTTCTCATCCCCTTACCCAGACCATGCAGATGCAGGCACCGGGCTTCTCGGCAAATCTGTTGAATTTCCAGATTTAACAATTGCTGTTCTGATTTTCTACAGTTGACCCTGGATGACCACGCCATGTCCCTCTGCCAACACTCGCCTGTGAATGTGATGTGAGCTGGGAGTCTGTGCGGTGGGAGGTGGTTGCCCGGCTCACGAGGGAGCCCAGCAGCGGACCAGGAGGACCTGGCTTAGCCCAGCCTCGTTACTAGAGAGCGGTAACACCTGAAGGAGGGTAACACTGGGGTTTCTCTGTGCAGGGAGAGCTCTGCTGATGGGCCGTTTACTTCTTTCTGGTAGGGAGGTAATCACTCCACAGGAAGCACATCACTCCGCGTGGAAATGTGCTTGGAAGGAAGCAGGAGGCTTACAAAAACACCTCTGAATTCCTGAACGGGAATTCTTTGAGAGACTTCTCCCGAATGGCAAGGCCAGCTGTATTTCTGCTGCAGCCAAAGATTCCCGCGGGCAAGGCGTTCTTGCTAAATCTTGGCATGTCCAGCAGACGGAGGGATGAGTGGAGTTCTAACATGACTAGGTACAAGTTAGAATCCAGGAATATTGGTGTCCCAAGAACAGAACACGTACAACCCAGAAACGGAAGGCAGTTTTCGGGCATTAAGTCTTTCAGAGAAGGGGGTTCCCCAGCCTTCTAAATTCCCTGTGCCAGGTTAGGGGTCTTCACCCTTAGGGCTTGGGGCCGAATCCCTTAAGCTTTACTGGCCAAGTTGGCCGTATCGAAGGCAGAAAAGTCTGGATCTGGGTTTAACACCATGTCTGCCACTTAGGACCACGTTGGCCATCTTGGACAGAGCTGCAGAGCTTGACCCCTGTCGGGCCTCCGTTCCCCCATGTATAAGGAGGGAACTAAGTTTTCAATTGCTCAGTTTCTTTCCAACCATCCCATCCGTGACTCTGCACGAGTCTACGCCTGGTGAGTCTGCTTCCTCCTCTTCTGGCTTCAGGGCAGGCCAGAGCCTCATAAACACGAATCTAGGTGAGTCTCCGTGCAGCAGAACATTTTCTAGAAGCCACGGCGCATCATGTTGATGTGCTGAGAGGTGCCCTTCTCTCTGCAGCCTGGGGTGTTGGCCCTTTCTCCCCCGGGCTCTCCCCGAGGCTCCCTCTGGCTCCGCCCCCCAACCCCCCTCCCTGTGCCCCCACAGCCTCCTCTCCCGCACCTGGTTGTAGGTACAGTTCTTCTTCTTGCACTTGCTGCACTGGAAGAGGTCAGTGGTGGTGCCGCCAGTCTTGGCCATCTGGTGCTCACGGATAGCCTCCTGGGTCATGGCATTCCTCAATTCCCTCAGCTCATCACTGGCCATTTCCTGGAAAGAAATGAGTCTGCCCTTCAGGGATAAAGAGTCCCAGGAGCCCTGCCCCCCATCCAGTTTCTAGGGAGCCTGAACAGAGGAGAGGGGAACATGCTGGGTTGAGGACAAGGAGCTGGAGGGAGGCCTGGAGTCCTGGCCTTGGCCCAGCTGAGGAAAGGCCATTCCCAAAGAGCCCCCATTCTGCTTCGGGTGGACGGGCAAACCTGAGCGGGCTCTGAGCGGGCCACGAGCGGTAGGGCGCGTGCCGGAGAGCAGAAGGCAGATAGCTTCCAGCCCGGGGTCAACATCTTGTATACATTTCCTCAGATCTGACGCTCACCCTGCCGGCCAGGACCTCGGGTACCTCCCTAAACCTTCCTGCTTGAACTGGCTGGACCGTGACCACCTCATCTGTCATGTTCCCCTTATCCTTCCAGTTCGGACTTGACCCAGGGCCCTTGATCCAAACTGTGATCACTGCCTAGTCCATTCTGCCTGCTGGGGACCTTGACCTCAACTATCCACGACTTGCGGCTGCTACCCTGACCCAAGTGGGACCTGAAGCTCCTGGGTGCACGAGCTTAACCGCTCACCTGCATCACAGAACATCTTTGTCTTTAAGCTCCCACAGAACAGAGTCTCCTGTCTCCCATCAGCTTACTGCAGACACTCAGTGTTTGCATTATCCTGCCTTGATCCACCTGCCTGGCCGTTCTGACTCCTCCACTCAAAGTGAGAGAGCTCTAGGTAAGTTTGGTTTGGGGGGAGGGAGGGCAGCCGGAGCTAACGTTAAAATGAGGCCTTGGTACTGGCTAACCATTGTCATTGTTGTTGTCTATCCTGACTCCTTAAACCACGGAAAACAGAGCCGGCACAAAGGTCAAGTGATTTTGGTGTGCCGACCACTGCGTTATCACCACTTGGGCCTCCTGATGAAATGCGCATTCCTATGAATCCAAAATTCTAAGGGCGGGCCTGGGAATTTTACTAGTGCCCTCAAGTTATTTCGGTGGGTGCAGATGTTTAAGTCCTACCGTATTAAGTTCAAGGACCAGGTCCTAACCATTGGCAGGGGTATACGGGAAAACAAGTCAACCCGGGGCGATACAAACAAAAAGCAGCTGACTTTAATTTGGAGGGACATCCAGAGCTCAACGCATGCATTCGTTCAAAATGTATTGGATGTCAATTTATTGAATGCCTTTAGCTGCATTTTGTGTGCTCACGAACGGGCCTTAGCCAGAGGGGTGACCAATTTCCATAGTGTAAATACTCCTACCATGGCCGATTGGCAGCTGCTAATGCGATGTGACTGAGCGCAGAGCTGGGAATAGCTACGCATAATCACCTCTCTTGAGCTGATAAACGCTGGCCCCAGCAGACCACTGCCCCTGAGCCCTAAGGATTCAGATACCAAGGTCTGGTTCCTGTCCCCAGGCAATGCTAATCTGGTAGTGTAGCCAAGTGTTTAGACAGGATTGTAGGACTGCATATGAAGTACTTAAAGCCAAGGTATACAAAGTAGGGGGGCGGGGGGAGCCCAGAGTACGGTGGCTGACTGCTTGGGGGCAGGGGAGGCTCACTAAAGAAGACACCTTAACCAGTCTTGAAAGATAAGCAGGAGTACCCGAGGGAGATGGCAGCTATAGAGAAAGAGAACAGCAGACGCAAAAGATCAGACCGGAATAACACACCTGGGGAAGGGTGTCTGGGTGTGTTCAAGGTGAGGAGTGTGGCAGATGTGGCTGGGTGGGGCGGACTGTGGAAAGAGGGTCTTGTGTGAGAGAGAACAGAGAAACACCCGCTCACCAGTCCATTGGCCTATCTCTGCCCTGCCTCGCCTAGGAGGAGGCAACGTCAAGGCCACAGGGAGGAAGAACAGCGCTACGGAAAATAAGGTAGGAAATGAGGAAAGTACGGTGGGAGAGGACACTGATCCTCGCGTGTATACATCGTTAGAGAAGGACCCTGAATATGAACCCAACGTGTGGCGCAGCTATGACGGGTCAGGCATGGGTCTCAGTGCCGGCTGAGCAGAGAACAGACAAAACCCGTCTCCTCGTGGTGCTGACAGCAGATCCACTCACCAGCTCTAAAGAACATCTCAGAATGGACCCCATTCTGTGATGTGTCTGGGCAGAGGGGAGAAGAGAAAAGCAAGAATGAGGAAGAATCAGAGAGACACAGGATGCAGTGAGGGACACCCGTGCAGCAGGGATCCGCTGTCCCAGGCTCCTCCTGATGGCAACTCCCTGTCCCCTGAGCCACAGCACAACGGATAGCCCAACCCGGAAGCGTTATTTTTCTTATTGGAGCAAAAGTGGTCTTCTATTTCTTATAGAAACTTCCTGCCTGGGGCAAAAGATGACCCCAAGATGAAGGTCTCCTCTGATTCAGCACTTGGGTTACTGGCAGGGGACAGGGTCCTTGGTGGCTGGCCCTGTGGAGGGCCTGCTAAGCTCTTGGCTTGCTCCTCTTGGTCTGGTCAGCCTCTTCTTGGGCCCGGGTTGACCACCTGATTCTCTCGCTCCGTTCTAGTGAACAGTCCTTGGGTGGGGCTAGACCATCCACATGTCTGGCTTGGTCAGTTGCTGTGCTGGGACTTCCGGAGCCTGCCTTGGCCTTAACCCAGACACAGCTCCATTCTGACCTCTAGCTTCTGCGATCTTGCTGGGTTTGGCTCAAACCTGTGTCTACACCTTGCTCTTGGTTCTCCTGGGCCTGATTTCCCAATGCCTTGGATTGCCCGGAAGAGTCTCTTGATAGCATTCCTACAATGCGTACACAAAGAAGAAGAGGGACCCCAGAGGCATAGAGTGAGGGCCAGGGAGGAGGAAACACAAGGCTCGGCTTTCACGAAAAGTCCCAGCTCCTCCTCGCAAGGAAAGAGAATACACCGTAAAGCCAAGTTGCGATTTGTAACTCTGGGCATGTGTTGCTGTTTGCCTAAAAAGATCAGGTATTTTGAATTAAGCAGAAAGATAATCCTGGTCTACCTGTGCCAAGCTCCCCATTTTATCGTAAAACCAGGGCCCTCTCTTATTTGAGATATTTGAGGAAGCCAACGAACAGAAAAATGTACACGCGCCCACTACATTTCACACACACACAGAGGCACACCCTTGCCACCAGTTTCAGAGGGTTCCCAGACATCCTGAGGCGCACCCGGGACGCCAGGATCCCAGTGCATTTCCCCTCCCCTTGTCTAGGCCACTTGGATTGAGAGGTGCTTCAGCAGTGCAATCCGAGTGCTTGCGGGAAACCCCCTCTATCAACGCTGGCAACAGGGAGCTGCTCATACCTAAGGGTGTACAAAAGGTGTTCCCAAGGCGTGGGCTCTGAAATAAACAGATCTGGGCTCAAACTCTCATCTGTCACTAGTAAAGTTGTGTGTGGCCTCAGTTTTCTCAGCCATACAGTGGGCATAATATTTCCTCTTCCACAGCATGGTGCTGGGGGTTACACGAAATGGTCGATGAATGAGCTTATCGTATACAAATTCTGGGGAACACTCTACACATATTAACTTGAACACTTCACATATATGAACTCCTCAGTCCTTCCTGAGATAGCGATTCTTCTTCTTATTCCTGTTTCGCAAATGAGAAAACTGAGGCACAGAGGGGTTAAGTAGCTTGTCTAAGACCACCCAGCTAAGTGCGAGAAGCAGAACTCAAACTCATGCACTTTGGCACAGTTCTGAAGCTGCTAAACACTGCACAGACTTCCTCGAACAGGCTTGTTTCCTTTTCCTTCCCTTAATGACCCCTTTAAGCTGGGTCAATCCTTCCCTCCTGTAAGTTCCCCTGGTGGCTCTATCGCGGCTCTTACCACCTCCGTATGTATAAATTTGAAAATACATCTGTCTCCCCACCTAGTGCTGTGCTCCATGGGGATAGGGATTGCTATTCTGGCTTGCGCCCAGAGCTGCATAATGGGATATAGAACTGAACGAGGCAGAAGAAGGAGGTAGATAACAAAGCAGTAAAGAGTGGGTGCTCTGGGGCCAGGTAGCTTGGACATTTTCTTTTTCTTAAAGATTTAATTTTTTTTCAAAGAAAACCCTACGCCCAACGCGGGGCTCGAACTCACAACCCTGAGATCAAGAGTCGCTTGCTCTACCGACAGAGACAGTCAGCTGCCCCTGGCTTTGACATGTTCTAGCCGTGTGCACGGCCAACTCAGCGAACTCCTCGGAGCCTCCGTGTCCTCCTCTGTAAAATGAGGACAATAAACAACTTCTACCTAGTGTGAAGATACAATCAGCCGATGAGCCCAAAGCACTGAGCGCAGTGCTTAATTCATATGAGCTGTGTTCGCTATCCTGATGGCCCAGAAGCCTGGAAGGAAGGGGAGTCTGCAGTGGTCTGGCTGAAAAAGCCCCCCGGCTCATCTCCACTGAGTCACAAGCCGCTGCCTCTCAGGCGTGGGCCAAGCCGGCGGGGCCTGGCCTCCTGCCCCACCATGCAGAGGCCCCAGCCCCACTCTCACCTCTGCCGTCATCTTGGCAATGAGCCCAGCAGAGATGGCCCCGCTGAGCACATTCCTCCTCAGGCTGGGGTTCCTGGGGTCCTTGAGGTTGCTGATCCGGCTGCGCACCCGGTTCCGGTACTTCATGTCCGTGCTCTTGAGCTCCTGGTAGATATGTGACACAGTCAAGGGCCAGCGAGCCACTCGTGGAGGGGCACAGAAGGTTGGGGAGCCACTCCCCAAAGCCCGAGGAGCCCCAGGACCGTCGGTTCCTCTCCTTGGACTAGTACAGGGGTTGGGCACCCGTGTGGCCTCTGACTCCCACAGTGGCGATATCGCTTAGGGCATTTGGGGTCAGCTACGCATCCCGAACGAGAGACGGTCGCTCTGGTGAGATCAGGCCACAGCAAGCACTGTGGTGTCGGGACCCCAGGGATGGGCATCCTGCGTTTGTCGAGCCTTTTGTGTGACTCAGGTGAGTCACGTGACTTCTTTGTGTCTCTGTTTCCTAATTTATAAAATACAGGGCTGTGCCGAGCATTCAGCAAGCCGTACCGCGTGATGCACCAGCCTGGTGTCTGGGACATCAAGTGCTCAACACGTAGGGGCTGTGAAGATGAGGACACTGATAAAGATATCCCCCCGTTTTGAAGGGCCTCTGGACGTTATGAGTCCGGCTACCGGAGGAAAACGTAAGATTGGGAGGCACAGGTTGAAGGCTCTAAGAGGTATTGCAATAAACACATCATTGTGTTTAACCTGGTGTTTCCAACATATTACAGGATAGAGACACCTCCCCGCTTCCCCCCTTTCTTTCTAGGAATACCGACCACCATGCCATGGGACCCACTTTGGGAATTGCTGGTCAGAGTTACTTCTCTCATGAACAGATAAGGAAGCTAAAGGCTTAGAAAGGATGTGGGCCCTTGCTCAAGGTCACGTGGCAAATTCCCGGCAGAGACAGGGCTGGAAGCCAGACCCCCTCCTGACGGTAATGCTCTCTCCACTCACTCAGCAGGAAGTCGCCCCTGACCACCGACCACGGTGAGTTCTCTGTCCAGACGCTGCCTCCCAGACAGGCCGCCCGCCCCCTCCTCCCTTCTCCATCCTCTGGAGGAGCGCAGGGAGCACAGCGGCGTGTTCTCCGTCTCCCACGCCAAGCAGAGTCAGGAAGGCAAGCCCTCTGCTGGGAAGAGCCACATACGAGAAAGAGACTGTGGGGACTACGGACACATGCAAACAGCTGACTTGCTACAAGCAGTGGGAGGAAAGGTGCTGTTATCTATTTTTTCCTGTTCCTGCTGTGTTCATGCTGCTTGTACAGTAACAGCCTGAAAAGAAAGAACGTGCCATAATGCATTTGAAAGTCGAAAGATTTGTTTAAAAATGTGAGTTTGGGATTCCTGGAGGCGTGCATCTGCTTGATATGGGGGGACAGGAGGGCCGGCAGCACTGTCATCAGCCTCTCCCTGACTCTGTCTCCGTTTCCTGAGATCACAGGGCAGCAGGATGAGGTGGAGCACGGGCCTGGGGGTCACTGACCCCTTCAGAGGAGCACGGCCCTACACTGCTGTGTCAGTGCAAGGTCACTCCAAAGAGAACAGACCTTTTTAGGACACAGAGCATTCAAACCCCCGAACTTATCCTCCTCCTTACCTCCCATCTTCTTTTTTTTTTAATTTTTAACGTTTATTTATTATTGAGAAAGAGAGACAGAGCATGAGTGGGGGAGGGGTAGAGAGAGGGGGAGACACAGAATTCGAAGCGGGCTCCAGGCTTTGAGCCGTCAGCACAGAGCCCAACGCGGGGCTCGAACTCACGGACCGCGAGATCATGACCTGAGGCGATGTCGGTCGCTTAACCAACTGAGCCACCCAGGCGCCCCCTTACCTCCCATCTTCTAAGAACAAAGGGCTCGATGCAGCTCTGATTTCCTATCCTTCAGGAGAGGGACATTCAGTGAAGGAAGAGGAGGAGGAAAGGCCAGGTGTGGAACTATGAACCGGATGGCCCACCTTTGTTTCCATTTTTTTTTTAACGTTTATTATTTTTGAGAGAGAGAGAAAGACAGACAGACAGAGAGCAAGCAGTAGAAGGGCAGAGAGAGGGCGTCTACAGAATTGAAAGCAGGCTCCAGGCTCTGAGCTGTCAGCACAGAGCCCGAAGCGGGGCTCGAACTCACAGACCGCGAAATCACGACCTGAGCTGAAGTCGGCCGCTTAACCGGCTGAGTCACCCAGGTGCCCCAACCCACCTTTGTTTCAAACTGAGCCTGAAGGTAGAAGGGACCTGTCTGAAGGGACAGCCGTTTGGAGGAAACAAAGACAAAGCTCAGAGTTCTGATACCTGATGCTCTATGCTCCTGGATCAACTGGGATTTATGACAATGTATCTGGTGAGGTGCTGGACAGCTCGGGACATGCCCGTTCATAATTAAATCATGGTGGAGGGGAACTCCCAGAAAATATGTCAGAGGATATAAAGGTAGGACTCAGGCAGGAAGTGGCAACAGGCAAGCTTGTTGACCATGGTCAGCCCAGACTGACCAGGGACCCTCCCCAACAGACTGAGCTCCTACTAGGTAGCCCAGTCACAGTCAGAACCCCTCTCCCCTGGGGATTCTGTCCCCTTCCCTCTTTGATAGGCAAAGCTTTGTCTCTCCAGTAAAAGATAGCCCGTGCATTCATTGGGGCACATTGTAGGATTTTCTTTCCCAAGACAACAATCTTTCGGTGCAATGAGCCCACATCCCTCCAGCGGTCACCTCCTCTGTCTATACAGCCCCCCCCTCAAAAAGGGGGAGAACGGGCCATGTGCAAAGAACTCAGGACATGGAATCCAAAGGCCAAGGTTTTTAGTCAAGCTGTGACACCCAGTAGTTCTCGAGCCTCGGTTTCCTCATCCGTAAAATGGGAACAACAGCCCCTGCCTCACAGAGATTGTGACAATTGGCAGAAGTAGGAAGTATCAACTGCCCATCACGGCGCCTGGTATATAGTAGGGAATCAACAAAGGGAGCTGTTATCTTCAGAGGACGGAAGAGGGGAGAAGGCTGAGCATGAGAAACGCTGTCCTCCCCACCTGCTCTGACACTTGACATTGCAACCCAGCCATATGATGACACGACCTGTTTAGCACAGCAGTTGAACCCTCCGCTTCTCGAGTCACACTCTCTGGGTTCAAATCCCAAGTCTACCACTACTATTAGCTGTTGGAGCTTTGGCAAGTGACTTAACCTCTCTGAGCCTGTTACCTCACACTTGTAAAATGGGATTAATCGGTGAACCTACCTTGCGGGATTGTTCTCAACCTTGAACGAGGTACTGCTCATACACAGCTTAGCAAGAGGCTGGCAGGTGCAAGACTTAATAAATGGTAGCTAGAATGAAGAACTCCAGTTCAGAGGCAGAGCAGGGGGCTGGCCCCGAGCCCTTCCCCTCCCCCTCACTGTCCTGGGTCCCTTGCACTTGGGAGACCTGCTCCTGGCGTCCGGGCACCCACAGCCCTGGCACAGCTCAAGGATATGATCTTCGATTTCTGATGCCATCTTGTCACAATTGACTCCATAATCCTTGTAATCATCTAAAAGAGATTCAGGAAGCACAGGCATTAGCCAGACATGACCTTGGCAGTGGAGCCTGCCCATACAGGGGACTGTAGCATCCTGTTCCACTCCCATGGCACTGAGAAAGACCGCATCTCATTTGCCCTTGGGAGGCCCTTCCCTCCCCTGCCCCTGGCCCAGGCCCTCTCACCTTCGGCCTTCAAGGCTGCTGAGAGCATCTCCACACACTTGTCCCGCACCGAGTCCCCTGTGAGATAGCAGGGTGCCAGGAGGCAGATGGAGGGGGCAAAGGTGGGGGTCGAGGGGCTGGTGGGTGTTTTGGGGGTCTCTGCTTTCAATTTGCTGCTGTTTGATCTGAGGATGACAAACAGTAATAGACATTTTGACATCAAGCGAATAAAGCATCCACTGAGCACACTCTGGATGTTTCTGTGGGCGATCTCCCTTACTCCTCATGACAGCCCTCTGAGGTAGGTGCTATTTTTAGGCGCTTGACATGGATCATCTCATTTAATCCTCACGACACCCCCATGTGGCTGGTGCTATTCTTATCTCCATTTTCGAGTTGCACTTTAAAGCGAATTGCAGAGGTGGCTGCATTTGAAATAATTTGACTCTGGTCACACACGTGGGGGGACCAGAACTAAAACCCACCGGAGTTGAAATCCGGTGCCTAGGCTCCTAACAAACCACTCTGCTCTGCTGGTTACAGGGAAGCTTAACAGGGTTGGAAATCATACTACAGTCCATTCGATACCATGCGAGGTGCTCTATCTTCTTACTGAACCATTTTCTCACTCATCCAGTAAATACTTACTAGACACTTATTCCACAGGCCTGGAGAAAGCAGACAAGTTAGGAGAGCTCCCTTCCTCAAGGAGCCGGCAGCCTCTTGAATGGTGAATTTACCACCATTGAAGAGGGCTGGCCTTACCAGGTGCCAGGCAACTTTCGGAATATTTTCTAATTTAATCTTCACAGCAGCTCTAGGAATCAAATACTCTTCTCTTCCTCGTTTGCAGATGAGGAACCGGTTACATCATTGCGACCTGAACCCAAGTCCGTCTGATTGCAAAGTCTCCACTCTTAACTCCTAAGATTCACTCACTGCCTAAGAATGATCTCATTTTGGTTTGGGCTTAAAAGCCCACAAATATATATACAGGGGGCGCCTGGGTGGCTCAGTCGGTTTAGCGCCCAACTTCAGCTCAGGTCATGATCTCATGGGTCGTGAGTTCGAGCCCCGTGTTGGGCTCTGTGCTGACAGTGCAGATTCTCTCTCTGCACCTCTCCTGTTTGCTCTTTTCTCTCAAATAAATAAGCATTAAAAGGAAAACATTTGAGAATCATGAGTGGTCACTCTAACCGGATGGCTCAGACAGGCTTCCTGTCTTCCTGCTCTCAAGGAGCTGCCAACAAAGGAGGAAGCAACCCATGTGCCCAGTGACGGATGGATGGATAAGCAGAATGTAGTATATAACACAATGGAATATTACTCAGCCACAGAAAGGAGTGGAATCCATATAAAGGAATGAAATTCCAACACCTCGTACAACGAGGATGAATGTCCATGAATGGAAGACATTATAAGTGAAATAAACCAGATACAAAAGGACGAAAATATTGGGGGCGCCTGGGTGGCTCAGTCGGTTGAGCATGTGACTTCGGCTCAGTCATGATCTCAGGGCTTGTGAGTTCAAGCCCCGCACTGAGCTCACTGCTGTCAGCACGGAGCCTGCTTTGGATCTTCTGTCCCCCACCCCCCACCCCCCGCCCTCTGCCCCTCCCTTGCTTGCATGCTCTCTCTCTCTCAAATAAAAATAAAATCTTTAAAAAAAAAAAAAAAAGGACTGGGGCGCCTGGGTGGCGCAGTCGGTAAAGCGTCCGACTTCAGCCAGGTCACGATCTCGCGGTCCGTGAGTTCGAGCCCCACGTCGGGCTCTGGGCTGATGGCTCAGAACCTGGAGCCTGTTTCCGATTCTGTGTCTCCCTCTCTCTCTGCCCCTCCCCCGTTCATGCTCTGTCTCTCTCTGTCCCAAAAATAAATAAACGTTGAAAAAAAAATTAAAAAAAAAAAAAAGGACAAATTTTGTATGATTCCACTTACGTGAAGTACCTGGAATAGTTAAATGCATAGAGACAGAAAGGGGAATGGTGGATGCGGGGGCTGGAGGAGGGGGAAATGGGGCGATAATGTTTAATGGGAACACAGTTTCAGTTTGGGAAGATGAGAATGTTCTGGTGATGGCTGCACAACAATGTGAATGTACTTAATACCACTATACACTTAAAAAATGGTTAAAACGAGGGGTGCCTGGGTGGCTCCGTTGGTTAAATGTCCAACTTCGGATCAGGTGATGAGCTCACAGTTTGTGGGTTTGAGCCCCTCAATTGGGCTCTGTGCTGACAGCTCAGAGCCTGGGGTCTGCTTCAGATTCTGTGTCTCTCTCTCTCTCTCTCTGCCCCTCTCCTGCTCGCTCTCTCTCTCAAAAATAAATAAACATTAAAAAAAATGTTTAATGGTTAAAATGGCTACATTTTATGGTATGTTTATTTTGACACAATAAAAAATCTGGGGCGCCTGGGTGAC